AGATCCCTCAGAATGGCCTCAGAGATGATGCCAGACTGAACGTCCCAGCGAGCACCTGGTGGGACACAGGGGGACAGGTACTGTGTAAATATATGTATATGTAAATAATATATATGCTATATCCTTAGTGTTATTTATCCTAACCTTCCATGAAGAGTCCGTGGACGTAGGCTCCTTCTCGTGGTGGATGACCAAACTCATCTTTAGTCTTTTTGGTTACGTCCACCGTCAGAGTCATTTTATCCAAAGGCCACTGGTTCTTACGTGCAATGCTCTGCAGCACAGCTAAGAGATGAACAGCATAACATTAATATTACCTATGTACACACACTCAAAAATGACTGTGGTGTTTACTGACCCACCTGTGAGAAAAGACTGAGGGTTGAAAAGCCCAGAGAGCCAAACAACAGCAGGCAGGACAAAGTCTTGAGTCCAGCTGTCCAGTTCACGACAGCTACTCATCAAATCATTGAACCTGTATTATATTATATTATATTATTATATTATATACAAAAATATATTTTATATTTAGTTTGCTAACACGTTAAAGGAGATTTCCTTTAAGACAAATACAGTAGTTAGATCAGCAGTTACCACTGTGCCAGTGTTTTAGTGGAGGGATAAGCCAGTCTGGCCCAGGAGTCAGGGACGGAATCAGTAAAGAGACAGGACTGCAGACTGTCCATACTTGAGGACATGGTGAGGTCGCCCTGCAAATGGAAAAATCCTCTTAAAAAGACAAGCATTAATTATTTGACAAAGCCTAGTTTAGGTTACCTCTGTTACGAAAACAGGACGGATTATAGACTCTGTATGCATAAGACAAAGGACGGATTATAGACTCTGTATGCATACTTTTACATTTAGCATTAAGCTAGGTTTTAATATACTGTATTATAAGAGCTGTAGAGCCACAGCTGACCTTACCTTCAGACCCAGATCGAGCTCATTCAGAGACCTCCTTATTTCTGCCAGCAGGAGGTTCATCCTGTCACACTCCTGCAGACACACTGAAACGTAAGGGTTTCTGTCTGTGGTCTTGCTGATCATGTCTGCCATGTTATACTCCTCCGGTAGTCTGTCAAGGATGTCTTCAATGACAGACCTGACCTGAGGCACAAACATGCGTGATTAGGTTTTTTATGTTAACCAGGTGACTGACACTGCTCTTTGTTGACAATGTTTTCATATCGACTGTGAACCTTCTCCTCTGTGCTCTGAGCTGCTCCCTCTCCTCTGCAGGAGTCGTGAGGCTGCAGCTCCAGCAGAGTCTTTAACAGGTTGTCTGAGGTGACGGTGAGGCACTCCAGTTCAGCATTAGGATGTAACCCATACAGGGTGGGATTCTCAGGGGGCAGATGTTTGTCAATATAACTGTGGTAACCACTATAGTCTGTGAACTGTGGAGCTGGAAACCCAGGGCAGAGGAAAAGCTCTCCTTCAAACTAAGACAAAAAAGACAAGCGCACCATGAATCATAATGCTTGACAGCGCTATTGAATTACAACTGAATGTGTTCTTCATCCTTTAAAAACACAAATATGACTGCAAAAAAAAAAAAAAAAAAAAAAAAAAAAATCAAAGATCAATTTCAGGTTGATGTTACTCACCATTTTCGGATGCATGAACTCTTGCAGGTAGGTCTTACACAGCCGTCTGTCCCAGTCGTCAGTGATGTGTCCTCCGTACATGATTTCCCCAAACAGAAAACACAAATCCTCCCAGGGAACCTGCATGGACTGTGAGAGACAAATTGTCCCTTATTGTTTTTATAATCCACGTTACACATAGTACAATGAATTACACCAGTTTGACTTTTTAGTTTAAGGTGCACAAATACTGATACTAGTATCAATATCAGGCAAATACTTAATTCAAATACTTGAAATGTGCTGATCCGATCAGTTCAAGTAACACTTTTCTGAATGGACAGCAAAAAAGTGCTTTCATTGAAATGCACTTTTCGTGTTAATAGCTCTGTTCAGCTTTTTAATGACTTGACTGATTTGAATTGACTTCAAACTTCGTCAAAAATACTCAATAACATTTTGATTTATTTCCCTATATATTGTCATAAACGGTTTCCTACACGTCCTGAAATACCTGGAAAGTGAAAGAATTGTAAGTAAGGTAAATAGGTGAAAGGTTATACACAAACCTGACTGTTGTTGTGACCTTAACTGGGCTGAACAACACTGAGGTGCAGCACCTCAACTGACACATCAACCAGGCCAATC